GATCCCCCTCCTGATTAAAAAATTAAAAAAGCAGCCCATGTGGGTGCCAGACCAGCCCGTTACGCACCTCCATACCTCCTACCAGTCTGAGTGTGCTTTCTTCTTCTCTAGTTGTAGGACTTCCATTCAGCCAGCTTTCCAGTGGTTCTGGATGATGGTTGTTCTGTATTTTAGTTGTAATTTTGATGTGGTTGTGGCGGTGTTTATCTATGCCACCATCTTCCTTTCTCGGGTATATATTTTGCAAAAATCTTTATCATTGAAATTTTAATAGGAAAAATAAAACATTAGCAAGTTCTTTAATAGTTGGAAATTGTACATTCTTTTATTTTTAAACTTATATTTCTACATTTCTTCCATTGAATTGTATATTTTATGCTTGAAAGTCTTATATAGGCCATTCTATCATACAGTAACTATACATTTTTAAATGCCCTGTGACCATAAGATTGTAAGTATTGAAAAATTTCCTCAGGATTGAATTTTTATTATAATTGTTTTAGTACACAGTTATTCAAAGCCCCATGAATATATTATCATTTTTTGATATTCATTAACCAGTTACCAAGTACCAAGTAAATTTTATTGTAAATGTATATATTAATGGTATAGCTTGAAGAGGGCACTTAAAATTTTCTCTCTGTTATAAACTGACAAAATAGATACTTTACAAGGGCAAACTCTAGTCGGTACAGGCAGCTTCTTGGACAGATGCATTTTAGGATCCTTGCCTATATATATATTGAAAATTGACTTGGAAATTGGAAATTGACTTGCTTTAAACTGTCCACATGTGCATGCCCCTTGGAAAGTCTCCAGGTCCTGGTTGTTATTGGTACTTAGTGCCCCAACTTGAAGTCTATCAAGCCTCTCTTCTTCAATAGCTGACACCTGGTACCCACTGTGTGCTTAGCACCTCAACTTTATGAAGGAGCTATTCTTGTTAACCCCTTTATACAGATGAAGAAACTAATGCACAAAGAGACTATGTGACTTGTCCAAGTGTCACAGCTAGTAAGTGGACAGGAACATGGTGGCTCCAGAGTCCAGGCTCCTAACCACTGTGTACTTGAATGCCTTTTTAAAAAAAGGGTGAAAGAGCAGATCTAGGCATGGCCATGAGAGGAGAGCTTATCTTCATGTAAATTATTAAGAGAAGGGAAGTAAAGAAAAACAGTGTTTTTCCACTGTGGTAGTGAATAGACTATGCATGAGTTAATAAAGCACCAGGCAGTGCCTTTTTCTGTACTCTGCTAGAGTATCATAGTATTTAGTGTCAGTCAAGTTAAAATTAACACTTTTTATTTCTTTAATTTCTATTTAACAGTAGTTCTCATTTAATTAGTAATGTGCAGGAATATTATCTGGAAACGTATTGTATTCTGCATATTCTGCTTAACCTGTTAACATGTTCTACTTTTAGTGAAGATGACAATGTTTTTATGGTAATATTATAGAAGAAATACTGCATTTAATTATGGTAATTATTTCACACTTATGTAGATCGTTTCGCCTAAATGCATCCTAAAACCGTTTTACATGAAAAAAGAAAACAAAAACCAAAAAACTATACCCATCACTAAAATGATTACCTCCTTTAGTGACGATTAGGGTTGTTGTCATTCATAAGTGAAAATTAAAACTATTGCTCTATATCAAGAGATATCTTTGAATAGTTCTGAGAAAATTTTATTTTTGGATTTTAAATAATTGGATTCTATAATAAACACACCAGGACATTCAAGGGATTTCGCTCTTTAAGGTGATTTACTCTCTAATCATATAATTTTGCCTTGCTATACAGAGCTAGATTTTTCACTTATAAGCATTCCCCAATTAGGAAGGACATGACCTATGAAAGAATTGAACAGGCAGTGGTTGTTTTGGAAGCCTGAGAAGAGAACCTCAGACCTCCTATTGTGAGAAGCTTGAAAGGAAGAGAGAGTGTGAAGGCCAACAGCCTTATGGTCTCCAGTTGGAATACCAGAGCAGTGCTGGGTAGAGAAAAGTACTTCTCTTATTAAACTATGTAGAGAGAACTTATCTATGAAAGTTGTCTTATTTTGATATAGATTCAGATTCATCTAATAGTTTTTCAATATCTACCATGTGCCAAACACTGTACCAAATGCTTTCATGTTCACCAGTTTATTTAATCCTCATAACCATGAGGATAAACCAATTTTACAGATGAAAGAACTGAAGCTCAGAAAGGTTATAATACCCAAGGTTAAATAACTAGTAAGTGGCAGAGAAAGACATTTTTTTTCTTACATGCTGTAGGTCTGTAAGCCTCCATTATCTGTGTGAGTATAAATATAGTTCTTTAGCAGCAAGTCTAGCATCATAGTCTTTGAGGTCCCAGTGTCTTGTAAATTATCTAAGAACTATAGGAGTTAATCACAGTTCAAACGGGAAATCCTCCAGATGCCTGCATCCAAATGAGGAAGAGCCCTGGCAGTGGTCGGTGTGTCTGTTGATGCTGCTGGTGTTGTTAGTGTTGCTAGGGTTGCTATAGGTTCTTGCTGACCCACATCGTCACTGATGATCCCTTTGCATCCATCATCTGACTGGCTCTACGGGTCTGTGCTTAAGGAAAGTCTTTATGGCTCCAGTTCTTAGCTCCCCTTTATAGGCTGACATGATCTTTGAAAGGGGAATATTAGGGTTCTACACAGAAACAGAATATTGAGAGAGAGAGAGAGAGAGAGAGAGAGAGAGACTGATTTACTTTAAGGTATTAGCTCATTTGATTGTGGAATCTTGGTAAACCCCAAAGCCCCAAATTACTGAACTCTCATTAAATTTCAATTCCTAAGCATCCTAGTGTTCATCCAATTTCCTTGCTCCAAGCCAATACCATATATTTTAGATTCTTGAAAGCAACGTAGTTCAAGGGATTAGGTTTGACTGCACACAACAAAGATCCAAATTAACGTTGTTTTGAGTAAGTCACAAGTTGATTTCTCATGTAAAAATCTGAAGGTAGGTAGTCCAGGGTTCATATAGTGCTCTCTGTTGTTAGAGATTCAGACTCCTTCTGTCCTCCTTGGGGCATGGCTTTCATTCCCAGCATCATATCAAAATTAAAGATGACCATCTAGTGCCCACCTTCATATCTTCATTCTAGGTAGCAGAAATGAGGGAAAAGAAAAGCAAACACTTTGCATGGATCATGTCCACTAATATTTCATTGGCCAGACTTGTTCATATGCCCCTACCTGGCTGCAAGGAAGACCAGAAAATAGTCTTTATTTTGGGCAGCCAGATATGCCTCAGTTAAAAATCAAGGATTCCAGTATCATAGAAGAAGGAAGGAATGGATATTGGCAGCCAGTTGGCAGTCTCTACCACAAAGAATTTATACAAATATTACAACATGTTAATTTATGGACAAATCATGACATTGAAATGCAGTTATTTTGATATATTTGATGTGTTCTTAACAAAGCAGCCAAAATTATCTTTTTAAAAACATTTTATATTACTCTCCTGCTCCGAACACACCATGGGCTCTCTAATTCACTCAAAATTCTAACAGTGTCTGGCAAGGACTCATGTTATCTCTACCCCCTCCGTGGCCTTTCTACCCTCATCCCAACTACATTCTCTCTTATTCATCCATTCTCCCTACTCCTCACACCTGCAGGATATACTTACCTTAGGGCCTTCTCACTCCTGGATATTGTAAGGCTAACTCCTTACCTCTTTTATGTCTTTGTGTAGATATTACCACCTCAATTGGGCCTATGCTAACAAACCTATTTAAAATTGCAATTCCCTCCACCCCCATACTCCCAGTCTACCTTCCTTGATCAATTTTTTTCCATAGCATTTATCACCTAATATCTTGACAACTTATTTATTTCTTGTATCTATTACTTACCATCTGCCTACCCTAGAATGTAAGTTCCAAAAGGGGACTTTTTTTTTTGCTTTGTTCACTAAAAAATTCTAAGTGCCTGAACAAGCCAACTACATTGTAGGTGCTCAATAAATGATCTGTGGATGAATGGATGCTTTTATCTCAGAATAACGGTTAAAAGGTAGAAGTATATATTTTATTACCTTACAAGTTATTTCCTTCCCTTAGTAGTGGTATGTCATGTAACTTTGGGACTCCAGAGATGAGATTGTGTAGCCATGTTTATCAGCATTGTGAGTGGCTGACTATACCTCGAAAAGGAACCTATAACTTTCTTTGGTATCATTTCTTATGGGCATATTGTTTTGGTCTTAAGAAATTTTAGGTTGTCTGTGGTGTGTGTTACTTAAGATTTCTAGGTTGCAAATAAGAGAATCCCAATCTCTAGCTTAAGAAAAAAAATTTTTGGCTTACATACACAGTAAACTCAAGAGATGTGGTTGTTTTTAGGGATTTAAATGTCATCAGGAATCTCTCTCACTTCTTATTCTCTCTCCATCTCTCACTTTTGTTTTCATCTGCTTTGGCTTCATATATTGTTCTTAAAGCTAGCATTCCAAGAGAACAGAGCACTACTTTGTTTTCTTCATTGAGACTCTGAGGTAGCAATTGCTGTTTCTGGAGAAGGCACTTTGACCAGCCTTGGACACACTCCTCTGCTTGGGAAGCAAAGCTACGTAATATACAGTTCCATGAGAATCAGGAGGAAGGTAGCTTTCAAAGAGGAAAGGATGAAGACAGACAAAAAAATGTGTTGTACTGCACTTTTCAGTAACATATTCCTCGTGTTAAGTTTGTTTGTATAATAAGCGATTTTCTAACAAACAAAAATTAAAATACTTTGCAACCAATTATCATTTTTTTCTTAAGTAGGATTATACCAAATGACTTAGATCTATAATTTTGTCTTTCTTGGGTTCTCATCTCTGTTCATTCCTAACCAGATTTCACATTTAGCAACTGTTGCATAGTCTAGAACATAATGAGAAGTAAATTGTGATTAATGCCCAGCCTCAATTTATAACCCCGGAGGATTTTACATTTTAAATTGATTAATGTTCTTCCTTATTCTTAGCTGAAAATGGCAAAAATAGAAACAGAAGATCACAGAACAGCACTTTCTCAGTCTTCTTCATCATCCTTGACTAAAGCCATGAAGGAATCACAGCAAAGCAACTCTGAAGGCACTTTCAATGGGGATAGCTTTCACTCCGTTGACAAATATAGTTCAAATTATTTACCAAGGTAAGAATATTATTTCAGCAGCTTAAACTGAATTCTGAAGGGGGTAAAAAGTACTTCTAGAGTGTTGTCTTTGTAAATGCTCAAGATTTGGTGGAGATTATGATGTCAATAATAAGTTAGAGATGTGATGGGCTATGAAGATTGTTGCCTGGGTTAAAGTCCTTCAAGTTTTTTCTGTTTTGTGGGAAGTAAAAGATAGTTGATGCAATTAACAACACATATTATCATAGGAGTCGGACTAGGACAGGTAGCATAATGATAATAACAATAATGGCAGAGAAGATAAGATTTACTATGTGCTAGTTAAGTTGAATTATACCTATTTAGTTCTCAAAACAACCCTGGGAGGAATGTAAGACAGATAATATTTTAAACATCTCCATTTTACCTGTGAGGAAACAAAGACCTAGACAAGTTAGTTAACTTAGCCAAGATTACACAGCTGGTAAGTAGAGAAGGTCCTTCTCTACTTGAATCCATACCGATCTAAGTCCACAGCCAGAGCTCTTAACTATTACTATATATTCTACCACACTTCCCGGAAATATAAAGCAGAGGAGACAAAAGTATTTTGCCTTTGTTTTTCTCTATTAGAAAGTTAAAGAGCAAAAAAGTGTCTGTCAGGTATTGATAAACTATGGGTTGGCTAACTGTGATGAAATAGTCTTTATGTTAAACGGAAAACGTGAGCTATAAGAGCATTAAAGAAAATGTTCATAAACTAAGGTTATGTTAATCTTATAGAAATGCTAGATCATATATGTATCTTAGAATGGTTTGATTGTTTTTGTGTTTTGTCACTAAGTTTAGATGAAAATGAAATCTATACTTTCAACTAATTTTGTTTTGCCTTATTTCTCTGAGCTGTGAGGAATATTTGCATATATGAGATAATTTACACAGTGCTTCTACTTCTTTGTCTGAATCCAAACTTCTTTTCTGTCACTATTGCCTGTTACCTAGAAAGTGAAGTAAATAACTCTCTTCTCAGCAATCAAATGGAAAGTCAAGGACTATGCCCAGAGGTCTTTTTTCATAAAAAAGAAAATAACGAATTTCAACCTGAAAAGGATCAAGTTCATAAAGGCTAATGGTAATCTAAGATCTGTTTGTACTAATATGATTATCAGAGAGAGGCAATTTTCTCTATGAGTAAAGACATTTTCCCCCTAATTGAGGTCAAAACTTTTCTTGCCTCATCTTTTTTTAAAATATATATTTTTTATTGATTTCAGAGAGGAAGAGAGAGGAGAGAGGTAGAAACATCAATGATGAGAGAGAATTATTGATCAGCTGCCTCCTGCATGCCCCACACTGGGAATTAAGCCTGCAACCTGGGCATGTACCCTGACTGGGAATCAACCGTGACCACCTGGTTCATAGGTCAATGTTCAACCACTGAGCCACACCGGCCGGGCTCTTGTCTCATTTTGTTTTCTTTGCCACCTTCCTTTCATTATCTCTGTGATCTTTTCATGAGGAATAATTATTAAAATATAGTCAATTTATTATCCCTTTACTTATATCACAGAGATTGTTCTTTTCTTCACTAACACATTGTACAATTTATAAAATATGCCCACATATATTAAGTTCATTCATTGCAACCATACAGTAATCAGTCACTTTATTTTCATATTTTCTGATGCTATTACTTTACTCTTTATTATATTTATATCATCCACTCTTCTTTTCTCTTTCTTGTATTCTTTCATTCTTTTTCCTCTATCACTCTCTGCTACATTTATTTGTAACAGAGTGAAAACTACTGTGCCAGGATCCTTCCCCCAAGAAAACTAATCATCAACACAATAAATGAGTTTGACATACTGTGCCAAAGGTTTGATCTTGCCATTTCCTGACTTACCACTAAGAGGGCGGATGACTAGACAAGTCTAGCCTCATTCCTGTGGCAACTTCCAGGAAAGCAGCACAATGGGAAACTTTTCCTACCCAGCTGTAGTCTAATGTATCCCAGGTGACACAAATGGAATACATTATTGGTCATTATTGGTCACAGGTATCTAAGGACAATTGTGTCATACTATATAATAAAGAGGGAATATGCAAATTGAACATCACTCCACCACAAAGATGACGGCGCCCACAGCAGAGGCCAGGGGGTTTCCATAGTACAAGATGGCTGCGCCCACAGCAGAGGCGGGGTTTCCGTAACACAAGGTGGCTGCACCCACAGTGGAGGCCGAGTTCCCGTAATGAGCCTTAACAAGCAATCAGCAGGGACCTGAGAGGCTGCGCCCCACCGCCCCCGTGGGGCCTGAGAGGGGACCTCAGGCCATGCCCCCCACCCGGCAGAGCTTGACGGGGGACCTGAAGCTGTACCTCCTTCCCAGTGGGGCTTGATGAGGGACCTGAGGCTTCGCTCCCTTCCCGGTGCTGGGCTTGGGGACCTCAGGCCACACCCCCCACCCAGCAGGGCTTGACAGGGGATCTCTGGTAGCATCCCCCACCAGGCAGGGCTTGACAGGGGACCTCAAAGTGTGCCCCCCGCCCTGGCCCGGGCTGGGGGACCTCAGGCTGCACCCCCCGCCCAGCGCCAGGCCAGGGGACCTGAGGCTGCGCCCCCTCCCAGCAGGGCTTGACAAGGGTGGGACTGGCCGGGTCTGGATCTAGCCCAATGCGGGGGGCTGGCCGGGTCTGGGTTTCGTGCAATTTTGAGGCTCACGTGGTTGGGCGGGGACTTGACTCTGGGTTCTGTGGTGCGCCCCAGACTCTGACAGGAGGAAGATTTTCATATACATTTTACTAATTTTCTTTCATCTCTGACACTTCTATTCTAGAGAAAGGGCAAATCGCAATATTAAAATATTTCCTCTAATTAATCCCCTTTTAATGTTCATGAATTTTGTGCACCGGGCTACTAGTATTTATAGAAAATGTCTCCAAATGATGCGTGGAAGATTTTCAAATAAAATAGCATTTTAAAATTAAGAGAATGGCCTGATTGGTGTGGTTCAGTGGTTGAACATCGACCTATGAGCCAGGAGGTCACAGTTTGATTCCAGTCAGGGCACATACCCAGGTTGTGGGCTCAATCCCTAGCAGAGGGCTTGTAGGAGGTAGCTGATCAATGATTCTCTGTTGTCATTGATGTTTCTCTCTCTCTTTCCCTCTCCCTTCCTCTTTGAAATCAATAAAAATATATGAAAAATAAATAAAAATAAAGAGAATGTTGTTAAAAACATCTCTATCTCACATATAAAATATTTTGTTTTAATGATTTTTAGCTGATGATCATGCAATTTCCTAGATTTTTATCCATTGAATCCTACTTTTTTAAAATATATTTTTATTGATTTCAGACAGGAAGGGAGAGGGAGAGAGAGAGAGATAGAAACATCAATGATAAGAGAAAATCATTGGTCAGCTGCCTCCTGCATGCCCTACACTGGGGATCCAGCCCACAACCTGGTCAGGGTTGAACTGCGACCTCCTGGTTCATAAGTTGACACTAAACCACTGAGCAATGCTGGCCGGGGTCATTACATCCTTTTAATCTTGCTTTCAAGGAGACTAACTGTGCCTAATTCATTCACTCACTTTGTATGTCATTATAGTTATTTTAGATATTTTTAATTGAAATGAATCTTAGAGTCTTTTTTGAAATATAAACACTTGGTTATATCACCTAATTTTAGTATTCCAACGATGAGCTGTCAGGTCTTTCCATGGAATGGACAGCAGAAAGAAATAAAGGGAGACAGCAATAGTGAATGAAGCAAGGCACCACCCCCATTGTTTTCAACCCCCATTACCCAACAAATTATGCTTTTTTAGATTTTACAGATCTAAACATTCATACATTATTTCCTTTAAAAATGTCAAAAGACTAATTGTTTTAAAATTTTAATTTCCTCTGGAAAAGTGATATATAATATCTATAACCTCCCCCAGTTTTAGATTTCAGATATACCTTATTTTTATTCCATTGCACTTTTGCACACACAGGTGTATTTTTTTTCCTGTGGGTGGGCTGATTTATGTCCTGACATATCAGTTGGGATATCCTTACCAACATTTCTAGGCCAAACTAGAATTACGGTTTCTTCTGGTGTTGAAAATAAAATATGCCTAACCGGTTTGGCTCAGTGGATAGAGTGTCAGCCTGCGGACTGAAAGGTCCCAGGTTCGATTCCGGTCAAGGGCATGTACCCTGGTTGCGGGCACATCCCCAGTAGGAGGTGTGCAGGAGGCAGCTGATCAATGTTTCTCTCTCATCGATGTTTCTAACTCTCTATCTCTCTCCCTTTCTCTCTGTAAAAAAATCAATAAAATATATTTTAAAAAAAAGAAAAGAAAATATGTGTGAATTATTTACTTTTATTAACTTTTTATGATGTTTAAAATACATTTTATCTAACAGTTGTAGAATGTTATTTATATCTTTAGAGGTTATTCATTTCATCAAGTTTGGGAAAGTTTAATGAAATCTCTGTGCTTTATGGCCCCAGAGATTTTATACAAGTTTCCATTCATCACACATATGTGGGGTTATTTCTCTTATTGGTTGTATTCCGGTATTTTAAGGGGATGTTTTTTTCTTAAATGTACTTAGGGTCATTTTTCTTTATGTTTACATTTTCTTATTTGTATTTATTCCAATTAGAGAGTTTAATTATCATTAGAATAGTAATAGGATAAAGATAAGTTTTAAAAATGACAGTATTAAAAAACTAACTCTTTAGGAAGGTTTAAATTCTGTAAGAATATAAAGCAAGAAATATATGCTTGTCAAATATACAGTATAAATAAATAATTTAGATGAAAATGGTTGACTACATTTAACAAAGAGACTACCAAATAATGACGGGCTAAAGAGTGGTTGTTAGATTTGATGTACTTCATTGTATATTGTAAGTAATTGCTATCCATAAAAATTCTATGGCTTCTGTATAAGAAAAAGAGACACTTTGACAGGCAACACTGGTATGAAGCGACAGCAAGTACAAATCCTTGGCAACTGTCATTATCCTGCTGTT